AGTGGGGGTCTGGCTAACACAAAGACCGAGACCTGCCAGTAGCTGTGCCTCCCTTTCTCATCGTCCCCCACCCTTCATCGAGTAGCAGCAGAGGCTATGGCCAACACTCTCCCACACACCACACACAACCCACTCGCGCTCACACTCACACCCGTGTTGGTCATAGACCCCGCTAATACCGATCAGGGGTATCCAGAGGACTATCACAGTCCGTTGGCACTAAGTGCGCCGCAGGCGGCCATGGGGCTTGAACCCACAACCTCCTGAATGCCACTTGCATGCCTAACCAACTAAGCTAGGCCGCTGGATGGAACGATGGAACGATACAGAGTACATTAGCATGGGCCCTGCGCAAGGACGAAACGCATATAAAAAAAGAAAAAGAAAAAAAAAAAGGTACGAGTGGCAGTCCCACAGGGCCCGATAACAGAAGTACGGGTGAACGAAAAGGTGGGTGAGGCAGGAAACTGGACAGGCGTGCCTGCATATTGTTGTTGTTGTTGTTGTTGTTGTTGTTGTTGTTGTTGTTCCCCAAGAGCGGCAGGCCGGTACATCCTGCCAGACGTGGAGCGGGCACTGCCGCATCATCGAAAAATAGCAGGGAAATGATGTGCGGGGTGGTGTGATAGGGAAAGTTGGGAAACCCATTCAGTCAAGTGGAGTGCATGCACTGAAGTGTGAGGAATGGGCATCATCTACGCTGAGAGCATACGCATATACGAGTACTTCCCTAAATGTATCTGACCACAATTACGGCCAAACCTGGATGAATCTGACCGCAATCACGTCCAGAGCTTAGTAGAAAAAGAAGTCCTAGTGTGAGTATGCCATGAGAGAGGGAAAAGCAAAAGGGTAAAAGCAAAACAGGAGTTGAAAAGAAAAGGCTGGAGATGGCTGTCTTGCTCCTTTAGGGTCCAAAAGCCACAGACAGGTGTATATATATATATATATGTTGGATGATATATTGTGTATATAATACATATAATATACATGTTTTCGTTGACGAAATATATTAGAAAACGTATATCGTCAACACCACATTCCAGCCAAATCACATTTCCCCATCCTCTGTTTCCGCCCCCCACATTCCAGCCAAATCACATTTCCCCATCCTCTGTTTCCGCCCCCCAGATTTTGCACTTTGAGTCTTGAAACTGATGACCCACAAAAAGAAAAAAAAGAAGAAAAAAAAGAAGAATAAGGTAAACCATACTTACCAACAACATGGAGTTTCGCCAAATTCCGACGCAAAAGAAAAGACATCGACCCCAAAATTAGAAAATCAAGCAAAAAAAAAAAAAAAAAAAGAAAAAGAAAAGAAAAAGAAAAAGAAAATCAAGCAAAAGACCAACCAGAAAAAAACGACAAAATTCTAAGAATGAAACTCTTAAAATGAAATTTTAAGCAACAACCTATCCCCAACTCCTGTCTTCTCCTGCTCTGTCACCACCTCCTCCTCTTCCTCCTCCTTCCTCTTCCTCCTCCTCCTCCTCCTCCTCCTCCTTGCTGCTCCTGCTTTTTCCTCTTCCCCCCCCCCCCTCCCTCCTCTCCTCCATCATCCTCTTCTTTTTACTTCGTCATCCCCATACACTACCGGCCCCCCCCCCTCCTCCTCTTCGTCCTACTCCCTTGCCTTCCTTTTCTTCCTACTCCTCCCCTATCTTTCTCCTCCTCAACTCCCGTCTCCTCCTCTTTCTCCACCTCCACCTCCACCTCCTCCTCTTCCTCCTCCTTCCTCTTCCTCCTCCCTCTCCCTCCTCCTCCTCCTGCTCCTTGCTCCTCTCTCTCTCTTCTCCTCCTGCTCCTTGCTCCTCTCTCTCTCCTCCTCCTCTTCTTCCTACTCCCTTGTCCTCCTCTTCTTCCTCCTCCCTTGTCCTTCTCCTCCTCCTCCTCCCTCTCGTCGTCCTCCTCATCTCCCTTCTTCTCTTCCTTTTTTTTTTTTTTTTTTTTTTTTTTTTCCCCTCCTACAATTGCTGCTCAATTTCTTCAGCAATACGGTTGTAGTACGTCCACCTCTGGATCAATTTCTTTGCCCACCCGTACTCCTTCGCATCCAACGCATTGGCCACAGACTCCATGTTGAATGCCATCTTTTCGGAGTTCTCGTCAGCCAGTCTTTTTAATGTTTCCGCGTCACCGGCTGCGTCTTCGATCCGCTCGCGGAACTCCATCACCTCCATGAGTAAACTCTGGTCCTGTATTGTTCCATCCTCCATGTCATGACCCACGTCGGGGGACTGTAATTGAACCATGTAGACCGCCCTCGAGAGTGGGCGTTTGAGAGTGTAGTACGCCTTGATCACGTTCGCCGATTGCTGTGCTGAGTGGACTTTTTCGGTTCCAGATTTAGTCGCAAATAAGTCCGGATGCAGGCGCTTTTGAAGTCCCTTGTACTTCGACTCCAATTCCTTCTCATCAACTCCGAACTCCTTTTTCACAGACAAGAGATCGAAGTAATCGACATTCGGGTCAACAGGCTGAATGGACCCGCATTCCTCGCAGAAGAAAAGGTTGGCGGGGGTACCTGGACCTCGCCCATGGCCGCACTCCCAGCACTTAGACGGTGTCCCAGAAGGGTCCAACTCTGTCGTGCTGGTGGGACCCCCTTCAGTGCTACGGGTAGCCTCTCTCCTCCTCGTGTCTTGCCCTTCGGTACCCTCCTTGCTTCTCATTTGACCCTTCGCCGCTTCACCAGCGGCTGTTCCGCCATTCGCCGCCATCCCTGCTTCGCCATCCACCCTCCTCTCACCGTTTGCTTGATAATGGACACTACCATTCTCCTCTGAACTGGGACCGGTTGCTCCTGCGGCTCCATCATCATCACTGTCCTGGTGGTCTTCCTCGTCTTGAGATGGATACGATGCAGATGCATTTGCCGCTACCCCCATCGCCACTTTGGGGGTTTCCATCATCTGGTGACTTTGCATCATCGTCGTCAGACGACGACAGCCGCAATTAAGAAGATTCCTCCGGCAATGGAATGTGGCTGTTTGTAGCGTTTGGTGGTGGGGAAGCGGTCCATTGCTGATGGGCGAAGAAGAGGAGGAAGTAGCGAACGAGGGAGGGGAGGCTATCTGATGGAACTGCGGCGGCGGCGAAGGGGAAGGGGACAAATGGGGCGTTGCAACCTTGAGGAAACATTGGGGGGAGCCCGTTATGATGCAACAGGTGTTGGTGTTATCAGCGGTGTTACCTGCGGGATGGGAGTTCGCTGGCGAGTGGCCATTCTGAAGGAGACAACATCCAAGTGACGCACCTTCGCGTTCAGTTATTGCTGCAGCAGACAAGCGTCTCAAGCACTGACTAGCTGGGCACCCTCCAGGACAAGTCCTCACTCTCCCTGAACTGTCCAGAACCAGCTCCGACAATCGTGAGCGGAGCTGGGAATCTGGAAGCTTCAGAGAGTTGCCAATTAGCTTCCTCATCTCTCTCTCTCTCTCTCTCTCTCTCTCTCTCTCTCTCTCTCTCTCTCTCTCTCTCTCTCTCTCTCTGTGTGTGTGTGTGTGTGTGTGTGTCTAGCCCGCTGTGTATGTTTATGTGTGTGTTTGCGTGACGTTATCAGCGAGTACTGACAGCAGTTATCAGCGAGTACTGCAGCACATGACAGGCTCCACACATTGCGGTCAGCGACACTTTATCTGGATGTCCTAGGAACTGCCTTCAGCATTCTGCAGAGAAAGGAGCCCATAATCGTATCGCCCCCACTCCAATCCACAGATCCACAGAGAAATGAGCGCATACTCATATCGCCCCCACATGCAGCTCTGTGCTCTCCACACTACAGAGTAGTACAAACAGAGAAACATGAAAAGACGACGGTCAATTAAGAGCAAAGTTCAGCAAACGCAATAGACCCAAAAAAACAACTTATCCATTGCAAAGTTGCAAACACAAAACTCATGTATTATGAATGAATCCCCATCTTCCTCCTCCACCTCCTCCTCCTCCTCCTCCCTCTTCTTCTTCTTCTTCTTCTTCTTCTTCTTCTTCTTCTTCTTTTTTTTTTTTTTTTTTTTTTTTTTTTTTTTTTTTTTTTTTGTTGTTGTTGTTGTTGTTGTGGGAACCGGAGTGATTAATTTACCCTAACTTTGTTTTTCGTTCCACAACCCCTGAGGAAGACCGTACACTTACCCGACCCCTTACATCTCAGCAGACGAGGGCCGGGTGTCAGGAGGTCGTTTTGCGTGGGCCGTGAATGACGCGCTCCGTAGGGTCCCACCCTCACATTTCAAATCACCTCCGACGGCTCCCTAGAGATTTCCTTCGTTTTGCCTGGGCCGCCCTTATTTTTTAGGGGCGGACCCTACAAGCCCAAAATGTGGAAACATTCCAGAGTTCGTTTTCATCGTGATTAGGGTGTTGTGGAACGATGATTTTCTAAGAATCCTTACATTTCAAGTGCTGTCGAACGAGGCCCTAAGATCAAGTGTAGTATCTGTTCTGATCAGTTTCATATCCGATCCGCGGTCCGTCGGACTACACAAACAAAAAAAAAA